AATAGAATAGAATAGAATAGAATAGAATAGAATAGAATAGAATAGAACAGAACATAACATTTTATTGGCCAAGTGTGATTGGACATACAAGGAATTTGTCTTGGTGTAAATACTCTCATAAAAGAAAAGATACTATGGGTTTGAAAGGAAATCGTTGTCAACTATCGCTATCTTCCCCACCTCAAATACACCAACAATAGCCAAGTTTCCTACACCTATCTCCATTCCTCTGGACCCCGTATCTCTGATGATCTTAGAAAAAGATGTGCAAGATCTATTTCATAGACAAAAGATCGGAAAAACATCAGGCCAAATGGAATAACTCCTTGCTTCATCAACTGGCCCCATCTCCACCGTATCTTTAATAAATCACTGGAAATATGTTACATTCCTTCCTGCTTCAAATGTTCTATTATCATCCCCTTCCTCAAGAAACCCTCCATCAAGGAGCTGAATGACTACAGACCGGTTGCTCTGACATCTGTTGGTTTTTTCATGTAACTGCTTAGTAAAATACCTAGAAAGTTAGAGATTTAACTTTAAGCAGGGAAAAATAGTATTTTAAATTGTCACAGGAGTTTCTATATTAAGCTTTAAAGCATACGCTTTACAGTGGGAACAGATTTGCCATTATCAGGGTAACTGGGTATTCAACCAAGATTTAAAAATAAAACACTTATTTAAATTAACAAGATGATCCTGGGAGGGGTTCATTTGCATATTAGCAGATAGATGTTTTGATAGAAATCTATAATTATTATACAATTTCATATTATCATATCAAAAGAGAAACCTGCTTGCATGCTTTTTGAACTGGAGCTAAATTAAGTTCCTGGAGCTAGAGAAAAGAAAACAGTAACCCTATAAAATATTGCACCATATCCTAGATCCATGATGCCAGACCTATGGCACGCATGCCGGAAGTGGCACACAGAACCATTTCTGCCAGCACGCGAGCTGTCGCCCGGAACAGATCCACTGCGCATGCATGTACACCTCCCGCTAGCCAGCTGATTGTCGGGTATCTGCCGTGCATGCGTGGAGGCGGGGCATGCGCAGGAGAGGCACACAGAGGTGTTGTCATGCCCCTGGTGGAGACTGACTCTGAGGAAGAGGAGGAACAGCCAACAGGGAGTGGAAATGCGGCTCCAGAGGTGATGGAAAAGGCTGGGGAAGGGCAGAGGCTGGCTGGGCAGTCAGAGGAGGACTCAGGCCCATCCCATCTCCATCCTAGGGCACACAGGGAGAAATGGAGAAGGGAACAACGTGGCTTACGGGAGAGGAAGCGGCCATGATCCTCTTCATGGGTTGCAGGTGTGAGATCTGCATAAAAGTTTGGATCTGCGTGCTAACAAACGCTGGAGACAAATTAGCATTTTATTCCTAGATGAGGTTTATCTTGGTTGGCGTTCTTCTAACAGACTGTCTCTGGTTATCTTCCTGAAGTTTGTAATTATTTATCCTGGTCTGTCATTGAACTTTATTCAGTACGGTTTGTTTTTTGTTTTTTGCTTTGTTATCTGCTCTTTGAATTTGAACTGTGTTTCTTTTGTTTGGAATGTTATTTTGAAAATAATCTTCAACTGTGAACAATTAAACAGTGAAGCCAAGTTGAAGGCATTAAAGGACCTTTATTTACGTTTTGGTTTTTGTTATATTTTTGATACACTTTGGGTCATCACAGACGTGTGACATGTGGGGGGGGTCACAATCGCATGTGCAGGGGGTGGGGGGTCACGCACGCATTGCAATATGGGTGCAGGCAAGCATACACTAACATGCACGCACTTTTGGCAGGCGACGACGAAAAGGTTAGCCATCACAGTCCTAGATAAAACAGGAAGTGTACATATTGGAAGGACACTATATAAAATAAAGTTTCTGAAAAAGTCAGGTTGACCTTGGTTGCAGATTTTGTTTCCTGTTCTGAATATATTTAAAAACCAAAATAAGAGCAGTATCTTACCAATGTGAAACATTAATCATTTTTGCACAAAATGATTTTAAACAATTTTACCTAATACTTATGTAAAGCTAAATAAGTTCTGCATGTAAGTCTTGAAATTGACCTGGATAATTACATTCTTTGGATAAGCTCATACACCAGCAGGAAGATGTGTTCATATGTGTGCACAGGTTCCTATGCTACATGGGATTTTATTTTGCTGTTTCAGGAACATGGCATCCCAACTGACATGGGATATGCTGTGGCTCCACACCATTCCGGTGTCTATCCTGTTCACGTTCAACTTTATGATGCCTGGAAAAAAGTTTGGAATATCAAAATCACCAGTACAGAAGAATATCCACATTTAAAACCTGCACGATACAGAAAAGGTTTCATTCACAAAAACATCATGGTGAGCTATGGTTTTTGGTGTTTTTTGTTATCCTGACTTTTCTTGTTTCTGTGATCCACAAAAAAAGCATAAGAAACATACTTATATTATATTCACTGTATCTGAAGAGCTATTTTTAGTTTATTATGCCCTGCCACCAGGTTGTAATTCATTTCAATGTCCTTTATGTTAAAATGGCGTCAAAGATGGTTTGAAATGTTTAAACTTGTCAAAATGCAACTAGTACTGCTGAGAAGCAGCTAGAGCTGGATGGTCAGCCATCTCTTTTACCTAACCATTGATTCTGTACTCAGCTGAAGAGGCTAATGTTAACTTTAAGGATTATGAGTGGGAACACCTGTCTTAAAACTGCCTGTTTATTGATAGGATGATACTTTGAAATCAAATCCATATACCTTTCTTTTATTGCTATTAGGAATATGTTTTATAGCTTTGGGGTGTAAATCTGAGTGTATATATGTATATGTTTTAGTTATATTACATATCAGTGTTTAGGATATTGAATTAAAATGTTAACTCAAGTATGCAAAGCATTGTCAAGCATAGAAAGTTAAAGTAATAGGTACATATAATGTTTATGTTATTTTTCTACATAATATTCCTATTTTAAATGAAAAATCTCTTCTGTTTGAAAGTGGTTGTATGGGACTATCTTATGGTAATAGTACTAAAGTTGCTGGAATTACTATTTTTTCTAATAAATGTATTTTAATATGGTTATGGACCAAGAATATTTGGATATCTAGGAACAGTTTATTATCTTCTTTATATATGATTTACATATGGTACAGATAATTTCTATAGTCCTGCAAAAAACAATTCTGATTAATTTCACAGATGTTTTTCAAACTATCTCAGATAAATTGCTCTTGTCTTTCTATAAGGCTTTGTCCATTTTCTATATGCTATATGTCAGGGGTGTCAAACTTGCGTCATCATGGTGGCATCATGTGACATATTGGGACTTTTTTCCCCTTTGCTAAAACCGGGCATGGGTGTGGTCAGTGCGTGATCCATCTGGCCCATGGGCCGTGAGTTTGATAGCCCTGCTATATGTGATTTTATACAACTGAATCATGTTTACCCACCTCCAATTGCCATTTTCTTGTCTGAAGAATCCTAATTGTTTTTCATAACAAAATTATTCAAGCTCCTTAATTATTTTTGCTGCTGGCTTCTGTATCATTTTAAAGTTCTGTTATATATATATTTTTCAAATTACTCCAGATAAGGATATACACTATCACAGAATTTCCAGGGGTGTTACAGTGTTGGCAGTTTTATTTTCAGCCCGTTCCTAATTATCCTTACCGTGGAATCACGGAATTTCTGTTTTGCACAACAGCCATACACAGTGTCAGCATCTTTGTTGAGCCATCCACTATGGTAGGGGTCTCCCAGAATTCCTCCTCCAGTCATGTTAGCTGAGGAATTCTGGGAGCTGAAGTCCACAAGTCTTAAAGTTGCCAAGTTTGGAGACCTCTGCACTATGGTCTCAAGGTCTTTTTCTTGGTTATTTATAGATCTCATCGTAAGTATTTGGAGTTTTGTCCCAATCTGTATTATTTACACTTAAATGATCACTTATTTTTCCAAAGTGAAGAGATCCTTCTGGAATATGTTTTACCATCCTGAACATTATCTTCAAATTTAGCCTGCTCCTTATTTAATTTTAAATTAATTTAAAAACCACCAGTCCAGGAGCCTAGGGATTAATATTTTCTGCTATGAACAAAATTGCTGATCTAGTCTTACTCTTTGAGTAAAATGTTTCTTCCTACCCAATTAGTTATCCAATTTTTTTATATAATCTTCCATATTATTCATTTGCTGTTACATTTATATGCCACCTTTCTATTGATAGGAACACTAGAGTATCTAATAACAAAAATAATATAAAATGTAATAATACACTCAGCATGATTTGTTTTTAAAAAGCTTCATAAAAACGTTTTTTAAAAGATACATTTTATTTCTAAATAATTTGAGAGTGGGGACCAACTTAGAAAGTGTCATAGCTAGGAAATCACACAGTAAACAACACCTTCCTATTTATCATATAGCAACTTTTTGGCAGCAAGAACATTTTCAGGAAAGTCTATAAGTATTTTTAAGAACTTTTATGAGGAACTTTGTCAAAGGCTTTTTAAAAAGCCAAGCATATAAAGTTGAAAGGTCCATGCGCCAGTTGACACTGTCAAAGATCTCTTAAAAGTAGAGTTATTTTTTTCTTTGATGGGTTCCATGCTGATTTTCCATCAGCATGGCTTATTTCTCTACACTTTTATTTTTTATCTACAACCACAACACTTCCAAACAATTCTAAAGAATTATTTTTTAAAAAAACAAATCACTGAGTATACAGAAAATCTATCATACCACTTCGTGTACATATTGACATACTGTTATGGAATAATCTAGTGACTTCCTAGACAGTGAACTGTTTTTTAATAAAACTGACAGGCAATAGTATGCTGGTTGGAAAAATCCTATATTTTAAGTGTTGTTTTATGGACAAGTAGATAGACATCTTTTTGAAATGATCATTTATTTGAAAGGCCATTTTTTCCAACTCCAATATCAGACAAAGGGATGGAAAAAAAGAGAAAGCAACAGGGGTGTTGAAGTTGTCCATCATGAGTTAATAATTGAGAGTGCAGGCAAACATATCACCTAAATATAATACTCTGGAATTTTTTTTTAAATTTTTATTTAAAAGTCTAATAATTATTTTTAAATTGGCAGCTGCGTGTGTATATTAACCTATATGCATATCTACTGTAAACTATATTTTTGAATGGTCCTTTTTTTTTCTTTTCCACACTTTTAATGATATGTAAGTCATTCTTCCTGACAAATGTGCTGTTTACTTTGGGTAGTTTCATGTTTTGAAGTAACATTAACATAATAGTCAAATCTATAAAATATAGTATAAGACTTATTCTTATAAGAATAAGCCTTATCCTTACAGAACAGAATTATACCATCTAGCAATTCGAAAGCATGCAAATGCAAGTAGATTAATAGGTACCACTTCAGTGGGAAGATAATAGCATTCTGTGCACCTTTGGCATGTAGCCATGCTGGCCACATAATTACAGAAAATGTCTTCGGACAACTCTGCCTCCCTTGGCCAAGAAATGGAGTTGAGCATGGTGTCCTAGAATCGGACATGATTGGATAGGGTAATCTTTACCTTTTTAATCTAAAACAAGCTTTGCTTATCCTAAGCTAGACAATGGACTCTTTTTTTCCTTTCTCTTTATTACTGTATATAATCTTTTCCAGGTTCTTCCTCGACAAACCTGTGGCCTTTTTACTCATACAATTTTCTACAAAGAGTATCCTGGTGGTCCAAAAGAACTAAACAAAAGTATACATGGCGGAGAATTATTTTTCACAGTAGTTCTCAATCCGGTAAGTAGTTTAAATTATTTCAACAAAGATAAGTGCTGAGCGTACCTTAAGAAATATTGACTAATAGCATTGTTTTACTCTTGTTCTTTAGTTATACTGATGATACATTCACCAATACTTGCAAATGTTATACAAAACGCAATCATTTTGAATAATCTCCATAATTTCTTAATAATTATCTTTACCGTTCTTCTTATTACTTTAAGCCAATATGTACTTGTGGAACAATAAACACGATTGAAATGACACTAAATTGTTTCAGGAAAACCTACCATCACTCTTGCACAAACAAATAAGTTATTTTAATTACATACAATAACAAATATCAAATAACAAATATCAAAGTACAAAATAAAGAGGTGCTGCTTTGTCACTCATACTCTGATTTTTTTTCCTTTTTCTGCTGGAGCTGTAAGGGTTAGAATAGAAAGAGATCCTCTGACAGATATAGATCAAACTAATTTAAAGCAAAACATAAAAGTGCAACACATTTTGCTGGATGAAGAGAAAACCAACTATTCTGAAGGTTTTGAAACTGTCTACTATTGACCTCACCCCTTTCCTAAGAGGTCTGTAGGGGGCGTGCATAAGCGCACCAATGTGCCTACCGTCCCTGTCCTTTTTATTTTTATTATATGTATCCATTTCATGTATTCATAACTATGTTTATACTTATACCTGTTATCTTGTAATCGCTTGACAAATAAATAAATAAATAAATAATAAAAAAAACTGCAGGGATCATGAGGTCATGTCCGAGAAGCATTCAGATATCAAAGATACCGTATTTGCCGGCGTATAAGACGACTGGGCGTACAAGACGACCCCCCAACATTTCCACTCAAAATATAGAGTTTGTTATATACTCGCCGTATAAGACTACCCCCTCTTCCACACACCTTCCACTTTTGCACTTTTTTTTTTTTTTGACGCACTTTTCTGCTTTGGACAATTTTGAAATGAGCTAATCCAATTTTGAACCAAGAATATGCAAATAGCTATGGAGTTTAGAAATGAGTTTTAAAAATATTTTTCATTGCTTACCATTAAGCGTAAAATATGTTGTAAATAAAATGAGAACACAGGAAACGTTCTCTTCTCAATACAGCTGATCTCTCTCTCTCTCTCTCTCTCTCTCTCTCACACACACACACACACACACCAAAAACCCGGACACTGAAAAGGCTGCCAAGGAACAGTATATTCAATGCCTTCTCTTTAATCAAGAAACAAGGAATTCCTTAGAATCTTTTTTTTTTCCCCAAGTGGCCCTCTTTAAAAAAAAAAATGGAGGTAACACTTTCATTCAAAAAGTCTTCCAGTATCTGGAGTCGCTCAGACATATTGAAGTGAGGCAGGAGAGTAAGTGAAATTTGAAATGATCCAGCTACCGTTTTCTTCCCCTCCCTCCCGAAGGCCATTATCTCCACGTCAAAACGAACAAGGGGAGGCAAAGAAGCCAAACACGCTAAAAAGGATCTCTTTATTTTCCTACACAAGGTCACACCTACTTTTCCGCATTCAAAGGACAACCTCTCCTCACCACCACCACACACACACACACATCCCAATACCCGCAAACAATGTTCTGGGCATTAATCACCATTGCTACATTAACCTGGTAAATTTATACCCTGCCTCCCCCAGTGTTGCTTTGACGGCAGGATTTCACACAGCGGGGCGCTCGCTCGCTCTCTTCTCCGCTCTCCCACTGTTCGCACATGTTGGAAGCACCGTAAAACCTGATAACCCACCCGGGGGCTCCCCCATCCTTAACCTACAGCCGCCCGCATGCAAAACCTGCGTGCAAAAAGAAAAAAAGAAAAAGAAAAGTACGCCGCACGTGAGGATCTTCGAATCCTCTCCTCCCCACACCGCTAAGGAAGGAAGAGGGGGAAAGGTTGCGCAGCGCGTGGCGAGTGACACCCGCCACACACACACACACACACACACACAAAAACACACACACACCGCTCCCCCCCCAGCCTCCCTCCCGGCTGCAACTCAAGCTCGAAGTGGGAGTCGGAGTCCTCCCGGCGTATAAGACGACCCCCCCACTTGGAGGCATGTTTTTCAGGGCAAAAAAGTCGTCTTATACGCCGGCAAATACGGTATGTCTAATTGTACAATTCTGCTCCGAGATCATTAAATATTCTCTATTTCTAAAAAAAAAAAAAAAAAAAAAAAGCTTAATGCAAATAAGAATCCAGTTTAGGTAAGCAGGCAGGGAGCAGTGTGGTTCAATTTTCCAAGCCTGGTCACCACCAGGATTCCCATTTGTTGGAACAAATGTAACATTGAGAAATATTAGTAGCTTTTGTAGGCAGTATCTTCTAGTCTGAATGTTACACCCATTATGAGCAGAAATGAGCAGAATTACTTTTTTAAATATTCATTCTACGTAAAACAACTATTGTTATTATTCACTTTTTAATATTTTAAGAAAAAATGTATTAGAAGTATTTTGAGGGGGAAAGTAGAGCCTAATTTCAGACACACAGAATTGTATAAAATTTGATAATGAACTTAAATGCCTGTGCCATTAGGACAGAAGCGGCATTCAAGGACAAAGGGGGTATTCATATAATCAAAAGAGGTATCAAATTTCTTGCGTTTTTTTTTCCAGTATATCCCAAAAAATATAAAATAGACATTACTATTTGTGAACATTGCAGTTTTTCTCAGGTATTATAACTTTCCAATTATTCAGATTAAGGAACCTAAGGCCTATTGAGAAAACTATTCTTTGCTAACTCTATTTACTGGAAATGCAAGAGCTTTTGTGCTAAAATAGTTCATCTAGCAAATTCCTAATATGTGCAATTTATGTGGAATTGGTTTATGCTCCCCATATTGCTGGCTGATAGTAGCTATAAAATTATTCTGGCAGCAAAGCCCATTGTGTTCATAAAGCATGCAGACTGTTTAAATTCCATCAGATTATATAAAGGGCATTGGGAGTTCATAACACATCAACTAGCTATATCTATGAAAAGTATGATCTACCCATGATAGACTTGACAAAGAAATCAATGCCAGGGGACATATTAATTCACAAAGTGGAAAAAAAGAAAAGCTGTTTAAAGAGGGGGCAAGTTAAAAGAAATATAGGTTTGTTCCATCCTTGATGAAAATGTTCACTTAGATTACCATAGGCGTATATTACAGACCACCTATCCAAACAGAGGAAATAGACAAACTTTTTGCCAACCAGTTAGCTTTGGTGTTGTTGTGGTTCGCCGGCAGCAGGTGCGGATAGCTGAGGTCTTGGAGAGCGAGGACTCAGATGAGGGGCTTGTGTGTGATGCAGGGATGGGGCCAGGACCATCAGGGACTGGAGTGCTGCCTTCGGAGATTGTGGAGGCTGGCAGCAATGATGAAGAGATCCCCGAGGAGCCTGTGCCCAGTACACGTGCGCACAGGGCTGCTCAAAGGAAAGAGCAACTGCAGCAGCACGGGCGACTCGGGAGTAAGGCTGCAAAGTGATGGCCCCTCCCTTAAGGGATAAAAGCCAGCCTGAGAGACCGGTATTCTTTGCAGGAAGTTCTTGCACTACAAGCCTTGTGGAAATTCAGACTATTTTGGTTTGTGTTTGAAGACTTTTTGTTTGGAATATTTCTTGGCAATTTAATCTAGTGCTTTTGGCAGCCTTGCACAACCTTAGCAAGGCTCGTTCTTACCAGAGACAATTAGTTTTAATAGCCTTTTAACCGTGAATTAACAGAATTTGCAGAGAAGCATGAAAAGGTTTTGCTTTTATCTCCGTTTGGTGTTTGTTTATTTGGAACAAGGTTTGGGTAAGCAGGAAGCACACTGCCAGACTGGCCACAACCTAAACCTCTAAATAGAAACAATCCTTGGCTCCATTTATTGAGAAAGATATAGTTTTATTAGAGGCCAAGTGTATTGCAGTATTGCATAGCCGGAAATTGAGAATTGCGCACCCAAATTCCTAACTTCTACTTTCCCTTACTGTCCCTTGCTGCCCACCCTACTGTAACCAATTAAGTCCATGCAAGATGTTTTCATAACAATCCAAGGTCAGTTTGGTATGTGATATACCTTCCAGCTGGGTGACCCTGGAGCAGCATGTCGAGGAGATAGTCTCTACTTTCAATTCCCCAACCATCCCCCTCCTCATCTCCTCTCCCCACAGTTCATGGTCATCTATCACCGCATAACAGCCAAGCACAGCAGGCATAAGGTGACAGCTGACATAGACTACAATAATAATGGGAGACTTTAACTACCCTGACATCAACTGGCAGACATACTCTGCACCAAGTGGAAGATCCAACAGGTTCCTGATGAATCTGGCAGACAACTTTGTTGTCTAAAAGGTAGAGGACGGAATGAGAAAGACCACTATATCAGACTTAATGCTTACTAACAGGAATGAAATGACAGAGGAGATTGAAGTTGGTGGACAGTGACCATGTCATATTGGAATTCAACATTATGCAGGTGCAAGTAATAGAACAAAGTCAAACAAATATCTTAGATTTTAAGTAAGCTGATTTCAATAGATTTAGAGCTTACGAAGGATTCCATGGATGGAAAACTTAAAGGGAAAAACAGCTCAAGACACATGGGAAACTCTAAAGAATGAGATTATAAAAGCCCAGTCTAGCACAATAACAGAGAGATAGAAAAATAAGAGACTTCAGCTGAAACCAGAATGTTGCATAATCAACTCTTGATAAACAGATACAAAACCAACACATATTAAAAATGGAAAGAGGGATACATAACTAAAACAGAATACCGATAAATAGCCTTCCGCAAAGACAAAGTCAGGCTCAAAATGAACTAAGAATTGCAACAAGTGTCAAAAATTAATAATTAAAAATTTATTTCAACATATAAAAACAAAAAACAAGTCAAGGAAACAGTGAGTGCACTGCTTTTGATAGTTTGAACTATTCTCTCCTTTTGTGTAAAGACAGATGCAACGAATGAATTAAGCAGTTCCTCTTTCTCCCTGCTACTTACCACCACCA